CGGGGTATTGTAAGCAGTAGAGTAGCCTTAGTGCTACGATCTGCTGAGATTAAGCCCTTGTCCTAAAGATTTGTTTTCCTGTTTGCAAAATTGGCAGGTTTAAGATGATATTACCGTTCACCATAATTCCGTCATGTATTACAAAAATATTGGATTGTTTTCTAATATATTTGACGAATGTTTTTATTTATATACATTAATTAAATGACATTGTAATAGAATTTATTTAATTTTAGATTTTTAAAAGGCATAAGCTATAAAATTTTATTGAAATTACAGAGATAATTAAAAAGGTACATCTAAAGAAAATAATTAAAAGAGAGCCATCACAAACTAAAAAGTTAATAATTTAATAATGAAAAGAACTGCAATAAGAAAATTGAAATTGTTTGCTTCTCTGTTTTAGTAAATTATTTAAAGAATGTCATGAGACCTGAACTTTTCTAAGTGATATGAAGCACTGTTCTTTGTAATCTTCTATTTGTCTAAAAGACTCTTCATATTTACTACGAGTAGTAGCATAGTTACCATACCAGTTATTTAATTTTTCTGGTAAAGAAAGGTGGTTCAAGGCCTCATAATTAAATAATCATGTAACATTATAAGAATTAGAATCTATCATTGTGTGACTGATCGCAATTTATATATTTCTACTAATATAAAAAATTTTTTAGTAATATAAAGATTAGATTTCTGTTTATTTACCATATAATATTATTGTATATTTTATATAACATATTAATATAATAAAATAATTTATTCGCTTTGGACTCACAACGGTTTCCGTTTCCTAGTATAGTTTAAGTTTTACAGAATATGCATCCTGATCTTTCATCTTGCGTGTCCTGTTCATTAATTTTTTTAAATAAAGGTTTACACAACTGGAACAAAAAAATCCAGCACCACATTTTAGCAAAGATTAAAAATTAAAAGCAATGCAAGTAAAAGTTTTATTAATTATGTAATAAATTTATAATACTGTACATATGTGATATATAATCTATCATCGATCCACATAAAAAAAGTTAAAATCCACCATTAAAAATTTTAGGTAATCAAATCTTTATAAAATCTTCTTTAAGATCATCCTCATAAGAATCTCAAAGTTATGATAATGCATCTTCAGAAAACGCTCTATCAAATTTATTATTCGCCATCAAATTTTGTTTTGCATAAATTCTCAATTCATCATCTCTACTGAGTTTCACAGATGCCGTCAAGATAAAGTATCTAACTGATTCGCGTCAACACTATCATCATAACATCTTTGGAAATTTTGGATGCGTGGTTATGCTTCTCAAGTTGTGTATCAGAAACACTCGAATAATTACATATATCGTCAAAGTCAATTATAAACTATTTTTCATGATTGACATATCAAAACATTTTCCCACCAAAGATTACGGTGCATTATTTTAATCTTATGCAATGCCTAAAATATTTAAATTTTTTATATATGTTTGAGATAAAGACAATTGATGAAAACAAATAAATTGAAAAATAATAGATACCTTTAGCACGGTTAAGACACAACATAGAGCTTTGATCAGTTGTTTTTTCGTTCGTGGTCTACATTTTATACCTTTTGGCTTAAAAATAACTATATTCTGTCTTATGTTAACATGTTTCAGTAATTCAATAAAGGGATTTTTTCATAAAGGGTCTTGATATATGTGATTATATCTGGTGAAGAGTAATACTTAATGACTTTATTATCTTCCAATTTAAAAATTTTATCTGGTCAGTAAATAGTAGTAAATTCCTCCTGAAAAGTCACAAGTATGTTTTGTCGAAGTAAGTATAATAATCGTTCTATATTTATTCCAATAAAGAACGATTTTATATGTCCTTTCATGTTGTTCAATAAACAGGTAATCAAATCATTCCACTTAACTCTGGTTTTTTCGTGATATAAATAACTATATGTTACTTTACGATCACTTTAATTTAGAAATCAACTTATCTGCTGAATCTTTAGTATTTTCAAGACTTTTTTCCTCTCCTTTCATAAGACAAGCTCCATTTAGTAAATATGATGTATCAGGTCAAAATAAACCTGTGGAGGCATGTCTTGATGTGTTGCAATTGTATGTCCCATCTGGACATCCAATTACAATAAGCTTCAAAATCAGTGCATCCTAAAATGCATAGAATGAATCTTCAGTTGTGCCAGAAGGGGGTAGAATCACAATATTTACAAGAAATTCATTCTATACTCGCATAGAAATATTGAATAAATTAGTAAAGAATGGTTTCAAAAACTCTGGAGAGAGTTCTAGCTAAAAATATTGTTTATAGTTCATTAGGTGAATGTTGATTACATTTGAAAACAGTGTAAAAGAAAAGAAAGAATTTCTCTGATTATCTAAAAAGTAGGTTTTACCCTGAACATATCTCGAGTCGAAATATATAGTTTGTTATCTGTATTTAGAAGAAAGTTAGATACAGACACTGATATAAAGCTAATAGGATATATATTATACTTATAACCTACCTATTTCACGTATTTGTTCAAGGGATCTATAAATCAAAGATATTACTAAGAATGCAAATTTTGATGCAAATTTCAAGAAATATGATTGGCTGAAATTTATATCAGATTTTGTATCAAATGCATCAGCAAAATAGCAGGTATAGTTGATGCAAAATTTTTAATGGCCCAAGTAGCCAATTACAAAATGTTTACTTAACCAAATTTGAAAACCCTTATTTTTTTAAAAATAACAATTTCATATAAATACATCAAAATATGCATCGATTTTATTCAATTTTGCGCACTAAAAAATAATAATGATTGGTTAATCACAAGTACATCAAAATTTACACCAACCAATTTTGAATACCCCTACTATGTTACAAAGGCTTACCTTTTGGTTTGACATATTCCCTCAAGAATTCAACTTTTCCTCTATCTTCTGTAATCGTTGAAAGAACTCTACTCTAGTTGCATCTCTGTTAATAAAAAAAATGCGTAGCACAGTTTTTTTTTAATAGTGAAAGGAAGCTTGTTAATATTTGTAAAGATAGAACTTGCATTAATAGACATTTTTTTTATCTTATGAGTTAAGAAATAAAAAAAAAACTGATGAGACTTTTAAAAGAAAAAAAGATTTTCTGGAGAGATTTATATATGGTTGACTTTTATCAAGTTATATATTCGCGTCTTAAATTTCATTAAAATTTGATCATTGTAAGGACGCATTTTGTAAGTCCAAAGCATAATTAATATTAGCTGATATATCAAATTCTTAATAAGAAATTATCCAATACATAATATGACTTAATTTTTTTTTATTATATTTATTAATTTTGTATAAAATATAATAAATCGAAATTTTATTAAAATTTTAAGTGAAAAAAATGCCATAAAATATATGATACTATCAAAGAGAAAAGAAGTACGCAGATCTTAGGTGATTTAATGCGAGTCCCAGTTATTTCAGTACTCTTAGAATAATTTTTATAGATAATTTATTTCTACATCTATTATAATTTCACCCATTATTCTTTTACTACATTAAATTTCTGAATTTCTGATATAAATTATCACACCATATCTACAAAATTTTTCATATAGACTATATAGGTTGATTGCTAAGAAAATCAGGTTCCGGAAATTTTTTAACAAAATTAAGATTTTTATTGCATTTTAGTTCTTGATGTTATTAGATTAAAATGCATTAAGCTCTTAATTTTAGTCAAAAATTTTTCAGAACCTGATTTTCCTAGAAACCCTCTCATATAATAGATTATTTTTTATAAAAGAATTTTCCTGAGATGAAATAATTTCGAATCTATGGAAAGAATTCTTGAGATTAGCAATAAAGTAAAAAATTAAGTAAAATGAGGGCTCCTGATTCACACTTATCACTATAGTTTATTTTAATAATATTTCACAAGGATCCTAAAAACTTATAATAGAAGTTCTCGAAAATTTTATAGTGATGTTACCTAACAACTTTATTATTAAATTTACCTTATATAATAAGAACTTAAAAAAAACTATAATACAATTTACCCTAATATATATAAGGACATTATTAAATATGGTCTAGTGCAAAATGATTGATACACAAAGATCGTCACCTGATTTTCATGTATTACATAAAACTTCACAAACTAAACATATGATTATATAAATTACAGATAAGATAAGAATGGTTCTAAACTTTAAAATAAAAAAAAATTTAACCGCCTTTCTTTTCAAATGAATGACTTAAAATGAGACCAAAGCTACCTGACTAGTAACGAAAAAAAGATGGTCATTCGTGTCTATCAATACTTTTTTGATATATGATAGAATAAGAAGAAGCATTAAGACTTACCACTATGCAAGAAGGTTACTACGGCCCTTGAAATTAGGGAGGCAACAGTTGTGCGAGTAATTTTTGAGTACAATAAAGATAAAAATGATGAACAGTTACCGCAAAAAATATATGAAAGACTAAAAAAAGAACTTAATGACAATATTGTTAAAGTTATACGTATCTCTGTTATGTCTTCTAACCGTTCTGGCTTGTCACTTTCAACAAATAATTTGCGACAGGAGCTTGAAAAAAACAGCTATACATTTTCAAAATAGCAGTTACTTCGTATACTTTACAAGCTTGAATATTATTTCGGTCAGGGTGAACATCGAAATATATTACATAAATCTTCTCAAAACATTACATTTCGCAGTCATTATTTACGGTATCATTTTGAAAATTTGCAAGGGCAAAATAATGTCCCTTCTAGACTAGAAGTATTCTTAGATGAATCATATTGCCACTTACACCATACTACAAATCGTACTTGGATGCTAGGTTATGGGGTTATGTATTCACCTGAGCATAGACCTCTAATTGTTATTTTTGGTACGATAATCATAATACGTAATGGTAATTTCAATAAACTTTTTGGCAAAATTGTTTCTAATTCTCTTTTGTTATGAGATCTCTCAATTAAACCACCTTCATCAAGAGGAAGAAAATGGGCTAATGCTGATACCTAGGATAATATTCCTGATGTTATTTGAAATTCCAATATTGTAGCTGATCAAGTTGATTACCATGGCAATTTTACGGCTGAAATATTTGAAAACCTGTTTGATAAACTTTGCATCAATATTAAAGAACACTATGGATCAGTTGATATTCATATGGATGGTACTAGGTATCACAAATTCTGAGCTGAACAAGTGTCAACATCAAACTCAAAAAAGGATATGATGACTGAATGGTTATTATCAAATGATTAAAGATAGTCCCCATAATTATTTTCAAATTTCAATTAAGTTGCAACTTAATTGCGCTATAAGAAAATTTAATTGCGCCACAAGTTGCAACTCAATTGCACCATTTTTTTTAATTGCGGTGACCATCTTTACAAATGATATTAATATTCCAGAAAATTCTAACAAGGCGGAACTTTATGAATTAATAAAATTACACAAAAATAAGATTCCTTTTATATGCGTTCAAATAG